TAAGCAGGGAATTTGTGAATGAGAAGGAAGGATTTAATGTGAGTAGTGACTGAAGGCTGCTCTTGAGAACTGGATTTTTATCCTTGTCTCTGCCACAAAATGTCTGTGGTGATTGTTCATTCTTCCCCTTATGATTGGTGATAGCTGTCCTTTGAATATGTGGGAAGCTGTTAAATTACGAAGTTTAGTGATGGACTTCAATCTTAGATGTCTCTGGACAAAGTTAGTAGGCACTCGAGTTTTATCCATAGTGTTCCTGTGACTTAGTTTGCCATCTGTAACTGAGGATCATACATCTGTGTGATTTTCATGTTAAGAATGGGGATGTAACACTGAGGAGTGTGGTGGAGAAGCACCTTGAGGAACGGATAATTCCATTACAGGCTACATAGCTTAGAGGGTGCTCGGTAAATAAGACCTCAGACTTCATCATTGAATGGTAAATAATCGGTATGAAGCAAACATCCATCTGTTTTAATGAACACACTTATTCCTCTGCGAACAACAGAGCAGCGGATACATGCAACTGCTGTCTGGTTCAATATGTGAAAAGTATTGAGCATGCAGTGGAGCGCAGGCTGTCACTGGTGCCTCTGTGTGTTTCAGGAGCAAAGAGTTATGCATGCCAAAGGAGCAGTTTTCCTTTCAGCTGTCAGGTGTGGAGGGAGACAGAAAACCCAGTCTCTCATTTCCAGTAAGGATAGAACAGTTATGCCTGTGAATGACATCAGGAAAAGCTGTAGTTATTGAACAATGAGTGTCTTAATGTTTAATTGCACAGCAGTCAGTGTATTAGTGATGAATACTTTTTATCCATTTGAAAAATATTATAAATAGATGAATATATGAATTTATTACGATGGAAAGTGGGCCTTGGTATCAATTGAGTAGCCATAAGTTAGAGCATCACCTGGCAGCTTTAAGAGAGTTTGAGCAAAGTGTTGAGGCATTTTTTCTAGCTTTTTTTTTTTCCTGCTGTGTGCATATAACATTGTAAGTCTTTTGACTATAAAACTGAAGGAAAAAAAAAAAAAAGGACGTTTTCCACCTCCTTACTTCAGAGATTTCATTATGAAGGACTCACTTAAAAAAAGAACAGTATAAATTGTCAGGACAGGCTTTACTTTTTCTCATCTATCACAAACATTGTTTGTCTGTAGAAATTTCTTGCGTTTGACTTGCATGGAAAAGCAGAGGCCATTGTCACCTTCATAAGACTTTCAACAATCACTTCCTACAGCAGTTTAACAGTCAGAAGGAGTAACATAGTTATGAAAAAGAAGATGATGCAAGTTCTCTCTGTAGTAGAGTTGTAATCAACAAAGTAAACAATAATTCTGCTGAGATTTATGCAAGTAAAGGTACTACTATTATTAATATTTAATGCTTCATTACACTTAGATGTACTTCTGGCCTGTACTGTTGCAGGTCTTGAACAGAGCAGGTAAAAACTATAGCTGGCACAGCATTCAGGAGAATGGTCTTATATGTAAGATTTTCAAGATGGAAACACCTCATCTTTTTTTTTTTTTCTTAAGCAGAAGTGCCTGTACAACATAGGCAAGTACTTTTGATGTTTTTACAGGCATCAGTTGGAATATAATCCCACTCTTCCACAGTGTTTACACTATTATCTTTGCCTGAAGAAGGGACTTTTTAACAAATGGATGGAGTGCAGAATAATTGACTCATAGTGATGTTTAGGTTTTACAATGTGAAAGATAGATCAGCTTAAGATGAGGAGAGAGACAGGAACAGTGTGCAAAGGAAAGTTCTGATACATCTCTGATAGAAAGTTGTGGATTGGTCTAGACAGTACTGATTTCAAATGACATGAAAGTGAACCAAAAATGAGTTTTAGTCAAAAATTGATTTCAATCAAAGTTGAAATTACTGTGTCCTAAATCTGTATGAAACATGTCAAGTTCTTTATGGCACGTTCCTTGAAAGACAGCTATTTTCTGGATGTATGTTATGGTTCTCCCACTTTGTTTCATTTATGTGGGTTTTGTGCTTCTGTATATGTTTTCATAAATGTCCTACCTGACCTAAGCCTACTAAGGTCTCATTGGTTACTGGAAGGTGCAGTCCTTGCCAACTCCATCATGCTGGCCATAGTACTTGCAGTGTCAGTCAAAATGGATAGTTAATCACATTGAAAATTAATATCACCAAAGAAGATCCCTTAGGATTGGTTTTCAGTCAGATCACTTTTCTGATGGAGAGGGACTAACAGAAACACGCCTGTCAGATGTAAGGTGAATTTAGATCTCTTAAACTCATTATAAACTGCCTCATATAAAATAATTTTCCTGTGCTATCTTAAAACAGATAAAGTCAGAAGCTGTAGCATATATGTAGGATGAAGTACCTTTTCTTGTTTCATACAACTGTTAATCCTGAGAAACAGTCCAGAGTTCAACTAAGTCATTTCAGTTGCAATCTGTTCAAATGAGAATTTGTCATTGCTGCAGAAGCTGCTCGCAGAACTTGCCCATTTCCCAAGAAGGCCATTTCACCTATCTTTCCAAGGTTAGACCTGAGTTGAGATGTTTTTACTGGCTCAGCAAAGTCTTAAGCAGAGGCCAGTACTGCCAGTGGTGCAGAACATATTAATTATGTAGTACTTTGTGGTGTGGACCACTGCCTGTCAAAGATTGGTAACAAAGATCACTATATGCATTTCAATTAGGAGACCATGCTCTCTGAAGTGGGTTTTTTCTCCTCTCTTCATTCTTTTTTCAGCGTAGCAATCCAGAGGTGGTGCTTCATCTTAGATGTTTTTTCTGTCTCTAGAAAAAGTAGCATAGAAGAGCTAAGAAAATAGCTCTTCACTGAAGACAAGGATCTAAAATTATCTTCAGATAAATAAAGTAATAATTGTATACTTGTCTTTACAGATGCTTTGAAAACAAATGAAATCCAGTTTGAAGGTTCCCTTGTCTAGCATCAAGTAAAGATCAAGCAATTTACAGTTTCATAACACTTGCACAAGAAATGAAAACAGTCTTACAGAATCAGTCTTTTGGGCATAACTTATGTAAAGTTCACGTGAGCATACCTATGTAACAGTATTTAACAGTACAATGAGACATGGATGGAGAGAGAACACAATCTGCATATCAGAGGTTAATGGTTCTTCTTTCTATCTGTGACTTGAATAACCATTACTGGCTGTTCAGCCTTCATTTCTATTGATGAAGGCTTTGAAAAATCGTGAAATGGCATGCCCTCAATATCAGTGAGTGACAGCTTGCATGAAACTAGTAGTTCTGATGTAACATTCATTGATTGTTTTAAGATTGAATGTTGAGGATGGCAAACAAATACGTTTAAAAATGCCACAGGTACGAACGTGCTTGTTTATCTCATCCCTCTTGCGCTTTCTCAAGCATCAAGATCTTACATTACGAGCTTTTGTAGGGAGAGACTTGCAATTCTGTCATTTGGATGCTGTGGTAACTACATGCTTCTCAGTTTTCTCTCGTCCTTAGGAGTTGGATCTCTGCTGTATGTTGTGAAGTCTTGGATTAGCAAATGGGAAAGGAAGTGTTAGATAAATGCACATAGTTATCTTTAAAATACTTTTTAGTCTGTCAAATGCTTGATTAGAAATTCTGAGTTAGTGCGCGTGAACTATCCTACATCTGTTTTTACACCCTTCTCAGGAGTCTGGAATTGCGTGTTGTCTCTGCTTCCAGGGAATGCGTCCACCAAAGTCTGTGTTCAGGAATATTTCCCTTACTCAAAGTACTATGTTCCCCATGTAACCTAAGGCTAATTACCATATTACTTCAGACCATTTTTACAGGTCTCAACTGAATAGACTTCCTTTTTTTCTCTGGACTTCTTTCACAGCTGACCAGCTGGGCAACTTAAAAACATTGGTGTGTTGCCCGCATCAAAATTCAGGAGACTGATTTTCAGGATTTTGCTTCTTTTGTTGCTTCCTTTTATCACTGTTCCAGTTACTTTGGTCATGTTACTGATTTGAGTCACCCTTTTAATGTATTGCCATTTGTGCAGTGCAAATAACAAAGTTACGTCAAACATGAAACATTTTGAATAGTTTGTCCTCTTTTGATCGTAGCAAGTCTTTCCTGTGCTTTCACTTTACTTGGAACTGTGGACTTTGCTAATGAATAAGTAGTTTGATTTCTAATGTAAGAAGGCTGACATTTGTGAAATCGGAATGAAATGAAGAACATAGGTTGTTGTTAACAATAGACACTTACTTAGTTCTTGACAGCTTTGATCTGAGCAGGAAAATGAATAAATCAGACAATAAATATGTGTATTATTGTGAAACATGAAAGGTTAGGGGGATTGTGTGGTGTCCTAATGCACTGACCTTTCTTCTGTAAAGACGTAATTTTTAAGTTCTGGTTATGCATCCAAATAAAAGCGAGTTTGCTGTTGTTCTCTTCCTTCAAATGCTTCTGCAGTTCACAAAAACAAACACATAATATTAAAGAATTCAGCATGCTTGGGAATATCTATTTCAAGACAGGACCCCTTAGCACATCAGGGTTGACCTACATAGGCAGACGGGCTGGAAAAGCTTACAGTACCTTGTGCTTTGTTCAAACTTCTACTGTTAATCCCTCATTTTTCTGTGCACCAAAGTTATACAACATATGTTCACATAAATTTACCTGTTCCCTGAATTCTTTCTTCCTACTTAAAGTGCTATCTTTTGGACTTTGGAAAGAGGATTAATCCCCACAAGCCTCCAGTTTTTGGAGAGATCAAGTGTTTTGATAAAAAGACTGCTGTGAAAAGAAACAGCATTCCCCCTCTTGCAATGGTCCTTAACTTTTGAGGCTTTCTTGTATTTTTAGAGTGTGCTTTAAAGAGGATGTATTATACCACTAATACTGCTCACAGGCAACTGAGAAAAAGATCCATATAGCATTTCATAACACTGTAACTTTTGTTGAATTTCTGAGTGTGCTATTTGAACTGATCACAAAAAAACTTCTAATAAACTCTTCCCACAGAAACTGAAACAGAAGAATCAGCAGCTGAAGCAGATCATGGATCAGTTACGGAATCTTATTTGGGACATAAATGCCATGTTGGCAATGCGGAACTGAACAAGGAAAATCAAACTTTGTAATTGGAAAAGATACAAATTTGTTTGGATATACTTAATTTCTTTCTAAGAAGTAACATGTTTTCCCACAGCCATATTGCAGTAATGTTTGAAAAGTCTTCAAGATTAAAACGTTGGGGTTTTGTAATAACTTAAATGGTGTTGGCTTTGTTTTTATAAAAGATTCATCCTACAGGTTTTACCTGAGTGATTCATTTAGGCTGAATATAATACAGCCTAAGTAATTTACAGTAATAATTTGGATTGCTATGCAAATGAGGGTTTTTATAAATGAAGTGTTTCTGGATTTTTTTTAAATAATACAGTTAACACTGTTTTAAAAGCATGTGTTTGCATGCCATTCTGCAAGGCAAACCACCTCTACAGACAGGAAAAGCTGCAATACAGAAAAGTCACTCTAGTAAGCTACAGGACCAAAATGTGTGATCAGATATTATGATGCAATATGTTTCTCCATTGTGAGAACATATACTAAAGGCTACTATGCCAGATAAGTTCATCTTATTCCATATCGTATCACTGAATATATGTTATAGTGGATCAGTTGGAGCAAAATTCAAAAGCTACATAAAATTACCCCTATATCCTTATGGATATAATTAGGTCTTTTTAAGTGAAGACTATATACATATATAGTCAACACTAACTTCTTTTGTAACTATGTGTTATAACTTCTTGAATACTGCTCCAGCTATTGTATGGTGTAGTATTCCTGTAGCATTATGTATGGTTGGAATACTTTGATTTTGTTTACCAGAATGCACTGAATAAACGCTTCATTGATCTTTTCCCTATGACTGCCAGTCCTAGAAAACTTTGGAGTATATGAGCAGTTCATTATTTTGAGTTAATCATCAACCTTCATCTTTCTTTGTTCTGCCTCTGGTATTCCTCATAATTTCCATTAGCCCTGAAAATAGTCTTAATAATTTTTGTTATCCACAGATGCTGCCAGTGGACTACGCATCTCTTTTTCCAGATGAAAGAATATGTAAAATAACACTGTTCAGTACATATCTGTAGGGCACTCTACTGTTAATATTTGTCAAGTTGAAAACTGACCATCCTCATGATTTGCTTCTTGTGTATTACTTTTAACTCTCATTCCATGCCCAGTCAGATTCCTTAATAGTTTTGAGTGAAAGGTTTGCTCAGAACCTTCTGAAGAGTCCAGTTAAATGGTATCCTTTTAAAAGATTTTTTTTTTTACAACATGGGGTTTTGATACTGAATGCTTATTGATTTGAGATACATGGTTTTAAAAATGTTATACTGGTTTGTTGTTCTATCAGTCTTTTTTATTTTGCTTTTTAATAATTTCAACCTATTTGTCCACTCCTTGAGGTAAAAATCACTGTCATGTAATAGACCCGATCACGCCTGGTTAACAGTATATGACTTTTACCTCAAATTAGGTACAATATAGTTGTCTTTTATTTCTCCTTTTGAAAGCTTTAAATCTTAACAGGTGAATGAATGCCCAGTCTTATAACTGCAGATAAACAGAGTTAGAAAATGTTAATTTTGATTAGTTTACCCAGTGTTGAAAGTGATATGTAACTATGATAATACCTAGATGTGAGTAGATGTCAAAACACCTTACAAATAAGGTCGCTCTCTGTTCTCACATATTACAAATGGAAGAGTGGATAGCTTACTCGGTGGCAAAGCTAGCAGCAGAACTGTTCGTTTCCCGTTTAGATTGACCACTATGGCAGACTTGTTGGTCAGAAATAATGGTTGATTTCTGCAGCTGTGAGAGGCATAACCATTCTATATACAAAGCTTTTGAAAAGGAGATGAAGACTGCAAGCAGAGATTTTGTTTTGTTGTTTGATTAAAATGCAGGTGCATTTTTGTATTTGCAGGGTGTAGTGGCAGCTTTCTGTTTAGTGTATGTCTAAGCATGCATCCAGCCTAGAAGAAGTATTTGAAGTGGATTTTGAAATGGCACCAAGATCTTAATTGTGAGTGTAAAATTCTCAGTATTTAGTATTTCGTTCTATTTTTGGAACAATTATGGAAAATAGAGATTAGTCTAGACTTTACTGCCTGTATACTATCTATGTATTCTTACTAAATGTCTTTAAAGTTTGTTGACTTTTTTATTGCATATAAACTGTGCAGAAGTAACCTAAAATGTGAATAAGAGTGCAAATATTGCAAGTAAATGTCTGGACAATACAATATTCAGCTTACTCTGCGCAGCTGCTAGCAGTAGCCAAGGTTTATACTACAATTTTTCATCTGGGAGAGAGGAGAAAACACTTTAAACCACTAGCAGAATAGATAGTGCAGCAGCTAAATTGCAAAGTGCAGAAATTGACAGAATTATAAATTATCACAGTAAATACTGTCAAAACAGGAACTTTGCAAGGTGTTGGACCAAACCCATACACTGTGACTTACACAGATGAAAGTAAGGGTAGTGAACATAATTCATATGCTACCACATCCATGAATAAGTATAGGATTTGGCCAAGAAGATGACAGTTTCAAGAAAAGTGGCAACTCCTCAGCTGTGAAACACTTTTAAAGGAATTACTGGGCATCAACATGTGCTGAAATGTAATATTTAAGTTAATGCTAACTGAACTTTAACTGCTGGTTAATGAAACGGCACAAAATGAAGTATTTACGAATACCAGCAAAGCAATACCAACACAGATGTTTCAATGTTTTGTTTATATATCATTGACTATTTCTGTATTTCTGATTAGGCAGAAGCTGGATAAACGTACAGATAGTCCCAGGAGCAGATACCAGAACCTAGGATGGTTCCATTTTTGGAATATAGAATCATAGAATCATTAAGGTTGGAAGAGACCTCTAAGATCATCGAGTCCAACCGATATATATAATATAAATATGTATTTATATGTAATATAAATATATATTATATATTAATTATATTTATATATAATATAAATATAAAAATATTTGAGGGGGTTGGGGTTCTTAGGGCTCTATTTTGCCCAGAGGGGACTTGGGGCAGTGGAGCTAGGATGCTGAATACTTTGTAGCATGTTTGTGGGAGACCCCCAAGTTAACACATACTCTCAAAATGAAAACATTAATCCAGCACCTTTGTAGACAATAGAACAGATATTGAATGTTCGGTTCAGTGTCACAACACAGAAAACGCCTGCTAGGCAGTATGCAAAGGTCCAAGGTTTTTCTTACATAAAAAGGCAAGAGTGCAGAGCAGATTTATGCCATGTTCAGGAAAGATGCACGGAGTTTACTTTTCCTCTTGTCTTCCGTAGAGGCAGCAAGGCCGCATCCAGAGTGCTGTAATAAACCATGACTGGTTTTGTTGTCCTGTAGAAAAAAAACCTGCTCTGATTATAGTATTTTTCACTGATGGAGAAATTGGAACTTGTGCACAAGTGCTACTTAAATTAATCACTGTAAAGAATGGATTTAGGTGGAGTAGGACAAGGATTCTGGGCTCATAGCAAGCAAGATTTCATCAGTGTGCAAGATGGCTGCACAAGCCAAAAATATTACAGCTGAAGGATGACTGACAACTGCTGTGGAAAACAGCAAGCTCTGGGTGTAGATTTGAAGATCTGAAGTTAAGAAAAAACATCAAAAAAAAGATGCAATGACACCCAAGGACACTGTGAGTCAACTGAGGTTTACAGAGGATGGATTAGTTTAATTACTTCGTGCTAACAAAGGAAATGGGGAATTATAAAGGAATTTACAAATACATCAGTGCAGAAAAAATATTTGGAGGAGAAAATGAGTAGTTTGCTCACTCTCCTTATTTAATGGTAGTGGCAGAGCATCGGGGCTTTAAAAGAGAAGGTGTTTTTTGTTGAGTTGCAAGGTTATTGTATTTCTATACATAAAAATAACAAGCTGGCTGATACATATTGCAGGATATTAATGAAAGTGACAAAAAATATGTACCAATGCCAGTTTTTATTTAAGAAAATGTAATGGATAACTAGACTGTAAGAGGTAAATAAATGCAATATAGTGAAACTTTTGTCTTGTTAAATCTAACTTCTGTGTAAATTTTAAGGATTTTTCTTACTCACATTGCATAAGGGACGCATTCTGTCATCTGTTACAAAACTACACAACAAATAACACTACTAAAAGCTGGGGACAGTGTTTGTGTTGATGTGAATGTAGTCAGAAGCAGAATACATGTTTTACAGCACTTCTCACTGGACTAGGTCCAGTAAAGACCATAGGCATATTTGAGGCAAATAAGCAGAGACACGTTTTTTTGTGTGCACTTAACGCTGGGAGCATCTCAGCTCGTTGTGTGCCTTCATGTTCAACTTGCAAGCTAGCTAATTGCTTAGAGTTCTGCTTCTGCGCGTGTTCCCAGGAGCTGATGATATCTGATAATCACTGCTGAGGTTGTATAAACTCTGTGATTTTTCTGCCCAAATCCTGTAGGAGGCCTCACGTGCCAGGCCCTCTTTGGCCCCTCATGCTCTCACTTTCCCTTCCTAGCTGACTGCCCCTACTACAAAGCTATAAGAGTAATGTTCTGGAATAGAATTGAAAATGAGTGGCTGAAAGGAATGAATTACATACATATCTGTGATGAAATCCTTTCCTAGGTCTGTGTGTGCTTTCTCATGAAAACTTGCTTGAAAAATAAATTCAGATTTGCCTAAATAGGAAGAAAGATATGTGATTTTGAAGTTGTCTGAGTAGCAATGGATAGCAATGCAGTTGTTTTTATAGCCATGTAGAGGTTTTAGTGGTATTTACAGTCCTGGAGAGGGGGGGAAGAGGGTCGTGAAGACAGTCCATTACTGAAATACATTGTTGAAGTGGGAAGACTCTCAAACAATAAGGGGAAAATATAAAGAGATATAACAGCAACAATTAAAACTTAGGTGAGCATGAACTGGCCATAAAATAGAGGCAAGGAAAGAGGATTTGGGAAAACACATTTTAAACCTGTGTTAAAAGTGATCATTGGGATGCAAGTAAGAGAAAAAAAGCCACTGCAGTTTTGGGGTGCACGACCAAATGTTGCATAGTAGGGAGTATAAATGTAAGAGCTTTTGCTCTGAGACCAGTAATTCTGATACAGTAATTCTGCGTGAAATACTGCATTAGTTTTGGGGTCAGCATGTTACTAACACAGTGAAAGAGAAGAATACTGATGTGCTACCATATGAATAATCATTAGAATAACTTGTGAAAGCAAAGACGAGGCTCAAATGTAGAAATTCTTGGGTAGATGCAAGGGGAAGTAATTAGAGTGATTTGGAGTGGCTGTAGCACAGAACAGTGTAAGAAGGTAAAGAAGAACGTATTTCACCAAACACCAATGAGGAGGGGTAGGTAGTGGAAACCTCTTAATGCTAAGATATGAAATATTAATTTCCCTAGGAGTTTAGAAGATGTCTCTTGGGTTACTTGGAAATTTTAAAACCCAGAAAACACAAAAGCACAAAAAGACTATACAAATGCATTGGGAAAAGGCAAAATATCCTATCTTGCATTGGTAGAGCAAGAGTGGACTAAACTGATGTTACTGGTTTTTCCACCTTCAGATTTTACAGTTGTAAAGTATCTGTTTATCAGATGCCATTTTGTCAGATGATGAGCTCCTGAGATCACCTGGACCAGATGCCACCTGCAGGTATTAAACAGGCTTTCACGGCTTCTTTGTGATGATTTGCTGCTGAAATTCCTCTTCAGGTTAACATGCCTTCATGGAATTTCTGTTAGAGGAATCAGAACAGAAAAGGAAATGAAGCAGTACCTTGTCTCTGTGATCTTGCTGCGAAGCTGAAGTAGCTGATACCTGA